GATCGCTCGAAAACAATAAGGCTTAAAGCAAAATAGATAAGGCCGCCAGTTGCCCTTTGTTGCTGTTGTTTCCTTTTTATTTAATTATTGTACTGTATTTCTGTATTACTGCAACGAAGTGTTAATAAATGAACTACATTCTTTGCTATTTTAATTATTTGCGAATCATTCGACACGGATCAGGTTAGATAAATCGCCTCTCGCAATAACAATACAAATCCAATAATACTTTACCAGTCATTGTGCTATAACCGGTTCGATCTCGAAATAAAATGGGAAAAACCCAACGGTATATAAACGCAATTATATAATTTGCAAACTGATTCATATTACCACGTGTTAATATGTTTATGTTGAACTAATTATATGTATGGAAAAAGTGCGTGTGAACTTTTTCCATGGTGTTTCCATTCCTTTTTCAGTTTACGTATATACGTAGTCGGTCCCAAAGTTCTGTCATAAATAGAAATAATGATAAAAACTAAAGTACTGATCAGTTTTTAATGAGTGATATATCAATTAATAGTACATAAATTAAGAAATAGAAATAGCATAAAATTATTCGAAATGACCTCCCTTATTTTTAATACAGGCCCTTAAGCGCCGCGGCCAGTCGTCTATCGCAGCACGCACCATATTCATATCGATTTCAGTGACTGCTTTTTTTTTAAAGATGACTTCAGACACTCCAAATTTTTATGGGGTTTATCACAGACCTTCCTCTCTAAGACCTGCCAAATTTTATAGTCCAAAGGATTAAGGTCTGGACTGGAGGAAGGCCAATCCTCATGTCTAATTAAGTCGATGTTTTGACGCTCAATCCAGGTTTGAGTGGTCTTGGCTTTGTGTGCAGGCGCAGAGTCCTGTTGGAACACAAAGTGATGTCCCGAAAATAGCGTGCTGGGCAGGTCTTTGACAAGCTGGTCCAAAACTGTGTCTTGATACACTTTTGCACTGGTTTTGACCCCCTTTTCGCAAAAATGAACCTCAGTTGGCCCGTAATAGGACACTCCCAACCAGACCATTACTGATGATGGATGATGTCCATGTTGCACCCTCGGAACTTTTTTCCAGCTTCTTCAGAACTCCTAGCGTACACTCTATCATTCTGTTTATTGTACTTCTCTTCAATATCGAAAAATTTTTCGTCCGTAAAGAGGAAATCACGGTGTCGGTTTTTCGCGTACCGCTTTAACAAACCCCGCGATCTCTTAAGCCTTATTGCTTTTAGACGAGCATTAAGTAGGTGCCCACTCTTTCTTTTGTATGCCCGTAGACCAAGATCTTCATTTAAAACCTTTTTTACTGTTTTCCTACTGACACCCATCTGCAAAGCCATCAACTTCTGTTTTCGGACAGGATTTCTTGCTATCCGCGCCTTGATAGCTTTGATCACTACTGGTGTCCTTGCGGAGCGTGGCCGGCCAGTTCTTTTCTTGTCCTCAACACTGGAGACTTCTTTGTACCTATCAATAGTACGGTACACAAACCTAAGCGTTATATTTAAATTTTTGAGCAACTTGAAAATGGTACTCGCCGAGTGCCCACAGCGGTGCAACGCAATAACAGCTATTCGGTTTTCTTTCAATGTCCACTCCATCTTGAAAATTTACGGAAAGTGATTGTTTTTTGTTTTAAAACAATAGTCAAACAATCAAAAATAGAATGCAATAATTTTTTTATAAAATCATGTTCGTAATTTAAAAATAATGTGCCAGTGACAGAACTTTGGGACCAACTACGTATTTAAAATAAAAAAAATCTTGTTGAACCGGTATATAAATCAATGCGATATTTGTTAAAAAAATCAATTGTTCATTGATGAAATAACGGTAAATGTAACAGTTAAGTATAAATTTTTTGTCATATTGAGGTCATGCGGTCGATAGCTTGCGGGAATTTGTTTTGCAAATTACTTAGAAAAACTCCGTTTGAGAGTTGACCATGCGTTTATTCTGTAGTAGCCCAGATTTTGGATGTGTAATTAAGGAACCTATGAAAATATCATTAAAAACATTGAAATATACTAACACACAACTTCCGGCATATATGTGAACCTTATCATTAAACGCAAATAAGAACTTGAGACAGATTTAAAATGTATTTTTAGATACCTAATGTATATACATAATAATATAAGAATACAAATAAATAAATATTTTTTTTAAAGGAAATATCAAAAAGGTTCGTCGATATCACAGGAGACGGAAGAGCTGGCAGCTACCTCGGACAAAGAATTAGTCTAGCTATTCAAAGGGGGAACGCTGCCTAAAGGGACTCCTTTTAATAATATATTTTAGTTATTACATTTTAAGGTTAGTAATTGTTTTTATAGTTCTTCTTTTTTAATAAATAAATTCTGATAAATGATGTATAGAAGTCGTCGATACTATATATAGGATTTTACCATAAAATTTAGTTTTGTTATAATGATTTTATTAAAGTTAAAATTTTAGAATGCCACAGGCAAAAAATGTAGAAAGAAACATGACATTTTAAAAATGTAATTTCTTTTTAAATTGCGGTAAAAATTGTTTTAAATTCAAATGTGCGAGTTTCGTAATTGCAAGAGAAAGATATTATAATTGCTGTATGAATATTTGTTTTTATTTACATAATTAGTCGGAAGTTAAACAGGAAATTGTCGCCAATCTTAGCATAATTATGAATATATACTAATATTAGTGGACCCCACAGACGTTGTCCTGCATGATATTTAAAGCGATTAGGATATTAAGCAAAGTATGAAAGTACCGACTGCAGTGCCATCTGCCGGGCTGATTTGTGAATCTAAACCATTCCCAGATCCCCTTGAACACACACAAAAAATTTCATCAAAATCGGTCCAGTCGTTTGAGAGGAGTTCAGTCACATACACACGCACAGAAGAAATATATATATTAAGATTATATACAGGAATTATCTGGATTTTTCGTGTTTCTTTCTACACTAATATTATAAATTTGATTTTATAAGATAATAGGATTTGTTTGTTTCTTTGCATTGAATAGATTCCAAAACTACAGGAATAATTTGAAAAATTCTTTCACCATTTCATTCATTAGAACCCTACGTTATCACTGATAAACATAGACTATATAATAGTTTCAAAAAAGTTAGGGTTCTGTATGAAATAACATAATGTAACCGAAGGTGTGAAATAGACCAATAAAAATTCATAAATCGTGTTCGCTGCGTAACTATTGACAACAGAGCAAAGTGATGTACTACAGTTTTATGGAAGACATTAATATCTACAATATCACCGATATATATAAACAGTATCATAAATAACAGATCATAGCTAGTAACTTTAATTAACATTCAAACTAATATTTTCGATTTTCTCAATCCAAAATCATAAATTACATGCAAGAGCCAGTGCAGTAAGTAAAAGTTTTTTTTTTAATTTGACGATTATAATGATAATGTTTAGATTAAATTTCGTAGTGTCGTTTAGCTCCAAAGGTGTAGCGCAATAGAAAACAGTATAAAATGCTGTAAAATTTATTCATTACTAGCTGAACCGGCAAACATCGTTTTGCCATGAATATTATTTCTAGGGAAATTTTATTAGTTCAATAAAAATAACTATCTACTATAATAAAAAATAGGGATTGATCGTAGAGGGTTGAAAATTTAGGGTTGTATGTATTTTTTAATGCTGTATCATATAAAAAAAATTCTTAAAATTAAAAAAAAAATTTAGGGGTGGACTACCTTTAACATTTAGGGGAATGAAAAATAGATGTTGTCCGATTTTCAGACATACCCAATATGCACACAAAATTTCATGAGAATCGGTCAAGCCGTTTCGGAAGAGTTTAACTACAAACACCGCGACACGAGAATTTTATATGTTAGATTATTGCATACAAAGTTTATAAAAAAAGGAGTTTATAGTAATACAACAAATAGTTTTACTGTCGACCAGGAAGTAGAACTTCCAACCAATTATATTATGTTGTTCAAGCAAAATAAAAATAAAATTGTGGGCACTATGACATTAAAACCAAGCCAACCACCCAAGTAAAGAAAACATTGAAACAAAACAAGTCGATTAAATAATTACGAAATAATCATTGGTAATTTGATTGTAGTATTATAAATACATAATTATTTTCTAAACTTTAAAATAGTAGTGTATATACAAAATTGTTTTTGTCTTTAGGAAGGAAACTAATACCATCACTATCTACTTAATTTTCTAAGTATCGTAGTTTTCTCATATCTCAGTAATTGCCTACTATTGATTGTGTATCTTTAGCTTCACAATGAGGATTCATTAGCAACAGCCTTGCGACTTGAATCCTTAAAGATAATAAGTATGAATAAATTCTTCTGAAAACATTCTTATGAATATTAATGTACAATTCAGGCATGTTTAACGTCACGCCATTTATACATAATCTCAAGTTTGAGTAGTGAGTTAATCTGAATAAGACATTTCTGTGTTTTACTGATGTTTAACCAAGTAGATAATAGCCCATAAGTATTATTATAGGTAGGCGAGTAGATGATTCTGAGAATCCTTTAGCGCTTCCTGTCCTGTGCCCCCTCTTTCCAATTGCTGGCTTTCAGCTGCAGCAGGTCCTCCCCTACTCTGTCAATCCAGCAGTACCTAGTAAGCAAGACACTTTTTGGGTCGCACAGCCAGCGGAATGAGTGTGTGAGATGATTCTGATGTCAGAGAACTCCGCGTTAATGCCATCCAAAAAAAGAGAGTACCAGAGCTGTTGCAAGCCTCCCATTGTTGCAGGTCTCCATGGACGGATACCACCACTTACTTCTTAGTATCGTAGCTCGCCTGCTATCTCATAAAAATACTATATTATCTTATTATATTTCTTTGGAAAAACAATTCAAAACAATTGTTCAATTTGTATGTAATAAAAATCACTTATCAACAATAATCATTTATTTATAATATACATTAAACTAACATATATGGCACCTTATAACTACGATCACAGCCAAGCAAGTTAAAAGTTGATGATTCCTTAACCAATGAAGCTGTTTGGTCTTTGTGGGTAATTTTGAGGGTTCTTCCTTAACTCATCGTACTGTTTGGCGTTGAGGTACCAAAATGGTCTTTGCTCGATTGGCAATTGTTCTATTCTGTTAATTAAGTTTCCATCGCCTCTGGCTTCAATGGGAGCGTTGGAGTCCTCTCCAAATCGGTTGCCGAGGGGTGAAGACTCCACAGCTGGATAGCCAATGGGTCGGAGACCGGCGTAAAATGGTCTTTGGGCTTCTGCTACTGCGAAGATGAGAGCGAATGCAACTGCTAGTTTGTATACTGCCATTTTATCTGGAAATAATATTTGTTTATTAAAAATTAGATCATCAACAAACGCGTATAGAACCTGAGTTTAAAAATACTACATTAAAAAAGAAAGCCAATATTTTATAGGATTTGGAGACAAACGAGCCTACGGAAGCCCATGGGCATTTGCAGTGCAAGCCTATGGGCAGTGGGTGCGTTGCCGGCCTTAAAGGTAGGAGTATGCTCTTTTAAATATATATATTACATATATTTAAAATACACTACAATTCTGCTTTTATTCTGAACAGTATATAATATTTAATACAAAAAAATATTTAATAAATATTTTAGTATAAAAAATATTTACCTTATTTTATCGGAGTTTTTTACGATGTTTTATTTTCTTCTAGCGTTAGTATTTTGTTGAGCGCAAACTCGTTATGAATGCAACTGGACAGAGCGCGGTATAAATACGAACGGAGACACGCCTTATCACAACGTCACGGCTGCTACAGACCTAAGACGATCACGACTTGAGGTTATTATAAATATGACTAACTTACTTAAATATAGACGCTTAAATTGAATATAATCTGTAATACAATTTTTCTAATAAAAAATAAACATTATTATAGAAACGTAATCAATTGGATTGTTCGAAAAAATAGGTGGCGCTGAAACACTAACATCGACATCATCACTCACAATATTCAAAATAACTGTGATAGTTAAACGCGTTTAATTTTATAAGTTCCCGTATGTTATATTAAGAATAATATTTAATCAATTTTACTTACACTTTTGAGTATAATTTATACTGTTAGTTTTGTTATGGAAGAGCTGGCTATTTTACTTTATAAGGTCCCAAAATCTAACAAATCTGATGCATAAAAATATATATACTAAATAAATAAAAATAAAAAAATAATACTAAATAATAAATAACTCTCGTCAGAGAGTTGGGAATGCGCAGTATGCGTTCTGTCCCACTCTAACGCGTATTTGCCGCACCTATATTACGTCATCGAGTGTTAGGTTTTTTCGTTACGGAATTTCTTGATTCGGTCGCCGCGCTCAAAGCTCGCGATATAATCTATGCAATAGCTTAAAAAATATATAAGTAATTATAACTGCATAAGTTGCTAAAAAATACTATGCAATAGCTTTACCGCGGCAGTCCAGTGCCACGCGTTTTTTTTATTTATAACGATTCATTTTAGGTACAAATTATAAAACTGAACCATGCGCCCTGTACCGTAGTTACCACGACAATGTAAAATTGGAATTATTAAAATATGCATTTAAAAGTCACAAATATAATATTAATTACAATTTCACAATTAACTTATTTTTATGTCTATGACATATCAGTTCATTACCATTAAAGCGAAGTAAAACCATGACCTACAAATAGAAAATGCTGGTCCACTCTATTTATTGTTAAGGCAGCGTAAAAACCCAGTATCACCCAGAGTGATACGTAAGCGGGGTTCCTCATCTGTCCGGAGAGTGACGTAATCTAACACGTCATGATACCGACCAATTTAACTTGGACTTGAGTAATAAGCATTTTAACTACACAACGTGCTTAGGTTAAGTGGTTGCATTTGTATGATGGACTACTTTAGTTTTTTTATTTCTTTAAACTTATAAATATTGATAAGGTTAAAACGATTGCGGTCTGGAAATTTTCTGATCTTCACTATTTAAAGATAATCATAAAATTAAATTATTTAATTGAAAAAACTGAAATCGCTGATTTTAAAAAAAATATTGGGTATTTTTTTTTATTATTAGTTTCAAATTTCGCTTCAAGGCTTTTTAATCACAGGTTTATTTTGTACGTCATTAGAAATTGGACCGCCTCTTGAACTATGTATTTTTTTAGTTTTTGTGATTCTTGATAATATATAAATTACTAACTATGTAATAACTAAAATTTTTTACTGGTTTAAGTATTTCTATTGCTTATTTCAATATTGTATGACTAGCAGAAAATATATTAAATGTATTTTTATTATTAATAGTTTTCTTTGCGCTGCTCCGCAATTTATAGATAGTTAAGCTATCCAATAACAAGTTCAATATGAAATATTTAAAATCCTCTTCTGACTCATTAAAAGACGTTATTTTAATCACGAATGAAACCCTCAGGTCACGATTCTCAATAAGATTATTATCTGACCTTTTATTGTTTAATAGAATTTAAATAAACATAACTTAAATATTTATTAAGTGTTATAAAATAATAAGATATAGTATACATATTTATTTATTTATTTACACTTAATTACCTTATACAAAAACATACATATAAAAAAGAAATAAAATTAAAAATCAGTTTACATAAGTTATAAGGCAACGGGCGGTCTTATCGCTAACGAGCGATGTCTTCTAGGCAACCCTAATATGGAACAATAAAAAAGAAACACCTACAGAGGGTAAAGTACAAGAAGTGCATAAAGAATTAACAAAAAAAAAACTCAAAATAACACAATTTGTTGTTAAAGAAATTATTTTTCTAAAAATAAAGCAATGTTCATGAAACAGTATAACTTGGACAGGCCAATTTCTGTTATTCATAGGCGAGTTCCAATTACAATTGCAATTGCGTGTTGTTCCCACGACAAAGTAAGTGCGAGCTCCTATATCACCATGCATCCTTATAGAGGACAAGTCTTTGTTTTTTTTTAATTAATATTATTATTATTAATTACTTTATATGTCATGTGGAACATGGTGTAATGGTTGCAGCTCCTTACAAACGTTGTGTAAAAAAAATTGCGATTAAAAAGAGTGGCGGAGTGTTTATTGCCAGTTCCTCTCTTCCGTTCTACCCCCTTGATTTGAGAACTGGCAGTAAATGTAAGATTAGAAGTATTAATATGTATTTCTTTACTGACAAGTCATAAGTGTACATGTTACCTATATGATTAAATGATTTTTTACTTTAATTAAGCCAGACAAGTGATAAACAAATTGTGATTTACCATGAACTTTCAATTACTGGTAATGCATGTTTGTGGCATAATCAAGCAAGAATAAAATAAAACAGTCAATTTTATTTATTTATAAATTAGGTTATTTTCTGGACTTATCTGTGGGTATTTTATGATTATTCCTAAGTCGGAAATAGGAATATTATACGGGAAATACATTACAGATAATGCAGTAATAAAATTATCAAACGGTCTGTGACGTGCTGGAACCGCTTAACATTTTTATTTTGTAAATAAATATAGCTATACTCCGGGATGATTTGAAATACTTTCTTAAATCGGTCTAAAAGTTTTGATAACACAATAAATATAATCAACAAATCTATCCTGTTTATAATCTTTATTTATATAAATTACGTGTCACGTTGTTTGTCCGCTATGGACTAAACTGAACCGATATCAATCAAATTTGCACACCGTGTGCAGTTTGATCTAACTTAAAAGATAGGATAGCTTAGATCTCAATTTATACCCGCAATATTATTTTATTGCAAAATATTTGGTTTATTATTTAATAGTCACAATTCTAACAGATGGCGCTGTGTTGTAAGTACCAACGTTTCACATAAGCTACAATTTAATGGCATAACCACCAATAAAGCATGGTGGCCCCATGACTGTGTTCTCCTACCGTTTCTCTTGAATAGTTTACTACTATGTAATATAACAAAAACCTTAGCCACAGCATAACTTGGTCGGTCAGCTAGTAGGGGAAGGTGGGGACCCTTCGTACGGTTTTCACATTTTATTTTTTAATTTTTTTATTTTTCCATGAATCAATCACCTGATAGCTTAAATTTATAGTCTAACTATCTGAGATTCAAATAAAAAAATGACAAATGATTTCATCCGATGTTTCAACCATAATTATGATTTAAACTAAATCTGGAAAACGTACGAATCTGCCCCATCAACGGGGCACCTTCGTACAGTGTTTGGGGTACCTTCTTACGCTGTGGGGTAGTTCAAAATTCATTTATTAGCAATGAAATTAAACACAAAAATAAAGATTTAATTTCTATTAAACAAAAATAAAATACTTTTCTTATGTAAAACAAAATTTAATTAGTTAGGTATCTTAAATTTAGAATTACATTTTTTACTCTTTGGTGTGGATTACAACTTCTTATTTTCGGGTGTGGCAGTATAAATTCGTGGTTTTCCTGGCCGTCATCGTCATTTTGCTTGTTTTATTACTTCTTACAGAATGCGAATAGGGTCGAAATGCCTCTGGTGTCAAAACTGACTTCGAAGGAACTACTATTTGATGGATTGGTAAATTATTCACAGCATCTGGTTCACAAGCATCAAAATCAACCTTAGTCAAGATGCCTTAACAGTAGTGTAATATGTAGAAAGTCGAAAACTTAATTTGTATGAAAAAAGACAGTTCGCGTCGACAAATTATTATACAAATTTAGTTGTACAATTCGTACAAATGTGCCCCATCTAGTGCTGTCCGAATGTACCCCACTAACTGAATAACAACAAAATATAACTTATTTTAATATTAATAGGAAAACGTCATAAATTAAGTATTGGAGACGTATCTTAAGTATATTTTGCTAGTTACTGATAGAATACTCTACACGAAAACTTATTTTATCTACGGTAACAAGAGATAAAAACATAGATCAAAAATTACTTACCGAGCGCGAAAACACGTCTATGCCTGTAACTTCACTCTCATCGGTGCGAATTTCACGAAACTTCGTTGATGTATAGTTGGTACCTCGACTCATGCACACATACAAAAGCAAGACTGTACTTTATTTCGTTCAAGTTTTATTTTGACTGTATGAATGTGCCCCGCGTACGAAGGGTAACGATCTTCCCCTATTACTTATTTTTGGTCTCAAAACGGTTTGACTGATCTTGATGTAATTTGTTTGGATATGTTTGAAGTTTTATATTCATTGCTGTCAAGACTTGGATAATAAGGTAGGACATATATAGAATGTACCTATTTCTATATAATCGAAGAAATTTTCGTGTCTTCATAGTGTCTCCAATTAACACTTTTGTTACACTGAGAACTATT